TTATGATTTATAATGTTTTGACTGGACGACTAAGCTGTACGCAATTATTCTAGTTTTTTCTGCTAGATTCTGCCAGCTATTCTTTGATCATTAGGCCCCTGTGCTCTTGCCATGTTCTGGCGAAAACCAGTAACTTGAAAGCCTGTAATTGATTTAGGAGAGATGCATGATGTGAAATTATTAACATTAACTAAGGAAATGCCTAGAGAATGTGTGTTAGAAAATGTTGTTTGATATATTCTGTTCAATTTATGGTAGACTTCTCTTCAATTGAATTCACTTATCTCTTATTAAATTTTGCTAAGACACTGAATTTAATGTACTCACTGACTGAATGAATCATCTTTAGCTCCGCTGTCGACTTTGTCGAGCGGAGCTTATCATATGAGTGATTGTCCGTCGTCGTCGTCCGTGTCAATGTTTTACTTATTCGACTTCTTCTTGAAAACTACGAGCCTGAATGATTTGATACTTGGTGTATATGTACCTTGGGTAGACCTCTCTCAGATTTGTTCATTTCATGATCATATCTTCAATTCTCTAATTTTGGTGAATATTTTGTCATTTTTGGTAAAAAGTTATATTTTCGACTTCTTGTTGAAAACCGCAAGTCTAATTGCTTTGATATTACATATATAGGTACTACATGTGGATCTCTCTCAGATTTGTTTATTTTGTAATGATATCTTCAATTGTCTAATTTTGGTGAATATTTTTGTCATTTTTTGTAAAAAATATTTTGAACTTCTTGTTAAAAACCGCAAGTCCAATTGCTTTGATATTATATATATAGGTACTACACATGGACCTCTCTCAGATTTGTTCATTTTGTAATGATATCTTAAATTCTTTAATTTTGGTGACTATTTTTGTCATTTTTGGTAAAAAGTGATATTTTCGACTTCTTGTTAAAAACCACAAGTCCAATTGCTTTGATATTACATATATAGGTACTACATATGGACCTCTCTCAAATTTGTTCATTTCATGATGATATCTTCAATTCTCTAATTTTGATGAATATTTTTGTCATTTTTGGTAAAAAGTGATATTTTCAACTTCTTGTTATAAAACGCAAGTCCAATTGCTTTGATATTACATATATAGGTACTAAATGTGGACCTCTCTCAGATTTGTTCATTTCATGATGATATCTTTAATTTTCTAATTTTGGTGAATATTTTTTTCATTTTCGGTAAAAAGTGATATTTTCTTCTTGTTAAAAACCACAATCATTTATGGTGAAAAATGTTATTTTTGAATTCTTGTTGAAAACAGCAAGTCCCATTGCATTGATACTATGCATACCGGGGTATTGTTCATTTTCTAATGATATCTTTAGTTCTTTAATTGAAATGTGCATTACTAACAGCGGAGCTATCTCAGCCGAGAGGCTGAAAGTGTTTTACAAATACATATGGATTATGCCTCTTTGTATGTAGAGGCAGATGCAAATAAATTTTGTATGTTTGTAACTTTATCAATGGCAATATTTTTCACTTGAGTGTCTTTCTGTTTGAAAAAAAAATTTGAAATCTCTAACCCTATTTGTTACCATACAATATTTAGTTCTTTATATATATTACCAGGTAGTTCAAATGTTTTATATTTGTTTCAGTCAGTTCTACCAATAATGTACAATTTTAAAACCATCCATCCATCTTGTTCTGCTTTATTTAGGGTCGCCATGTGAAGACAGGTCAGCTTGCTGCCATCAAAGTTATGGATGTTACAGAGGTAGGTCAACCTAAACAGCTACCTGATTGAATTTTTCGCTTCATTTCTCTTTGCTATGCAGAAAGCAAACATTTAAGTAATGAAGCATAAAGCTGAATAGATAGTGACTTCTCATATTTGGCTCTGAGTAGAATTTAGAAACAACTGCTAGCTGGAGATTTTCAGTTATTAAACGATGGCGATTGTTGTAGCACACATGTGCCAGTTGTTGCGTTGGTAAACAACCCACCATGTTCTACTAAGAATTCAACATGGCAACAAGTATGTGTGTGAATCTGAGTGAAATGGATGTGGTATTCATGGGAACACACAGCTGATCATAATTCACCTACTGTAAAATACTTTATTGTCACTGTTTTTGCTGAAGGAATGTTTCGGTGGAAATCAAATCCAGTGAATATACCTATTTTCCTATGTTTTACATTCAACTCATCAAAAATCAGTGAAAATAAATTCCATACAAAACACCCAAAATATCTTTTCAACGAAAATTAATTCCAAAAAATAAATTATTTTACAGTATATAATGCTTGGGACCAAATCTTCTTATTCACTCTGATCTACACAACACTCAGTTTCTGCAGATATGTATTAACAACAATGGGATGCATATCTGTGCTTGTAACCACTGCTTGTTAAGTGGTGATTTGATACAAATAAAATGTAGTGCATTTCTGAAACTCAATAAATGTCTGCACATTTCCCCTAAAGCTTACACAAACTTATTATTTTGTGAGATTGGTGTGTTATTATTGCAATACTGGTATTAAGGTCGCAGCAATTGACCTAAAAAAAATGATCTGAGCTTGATACAGAGTTTTGAGACATGGGCCAGGTCTGCTTGAGTGTGTGAGTACTCTGATGGTGTGACCCTGGCTAATATGGGATAACAGAACCACACTGATGTACTCAGTAAGTCTATCCCCTCTGATCTTAATAGTACAGTATTTATATCCTTTGTCTGTGTTTCACTGAAATTGGTTCTTTATTCAAATTACTGCCGAGACCAAACAAGAGGTATGCTATCAACGCTGTATAACAAGTTTGGTCTATGCCAGTAATTGCTTGCATGTTTTACGGATTTGCTTTATAAGTATTATATCAATATTATGGTTTCCCAGCTGTGACACATAGATGCATCTGTCTAAATGTAGATACTGTCTGGCACCAGTGCTTTCTTGTTATATTATCAACTTTCTAATGCAATAATATTGCAGTATAGGGACTCTAATCACTATGTATGAAGGCATTTATAATTATAGTAGTTGAGGTGATCTGAATAAAAGTACAGAAAGCATACAATTACAAGTATGAAAGTGACATAAATACAGGATGTAACAGGATGTGTCTATTCGGTTCTGCCATGTCCTTTGATATGGAATGTATCACCTATTAATATTTGATTTATTATCCAATTATTGTTGAATTCTTTTTAATCATTCCATTCATTGTACTCCCCAGGATTGATTCGATTGGTTTTGGTGTTAATTGATCAATAATATATCCTTCTGTTTTAAGACAGTGTCATTGGGTATGATACAGTAATAATAAGGGAGGGACCCCATCACTTGTAACAGCCAATACATACACTACTTGGTGATAAAGTACACTAATTTGTTTGGTCAAAATTTGTGATCAGTGTGTTTTGAGAAGAAATGTGACTATTGACACTAATGTTTTTTTTTTTAAATAATTTTTTAACAAAGTGCACAGCATTCAAATCTGTTTTTCGTTTTATTGACCTTTGACCGACTGGTGGCCATTTTTGTCCTCATAATACCAAAAAACAATATTTGAACACGTTATTTAGTGGGACTTATAATTCGGTCTCTGTCTATCCAGAGTCGTATTTCAGTCCATGTCCATTCGGAGTTGTATTTCAGAACCCTGTGGACCAAATCTGTTCATTTTTTGCATGTGGGTAATAATACTTTATCAATTTTACTGATTCAATCCATAATGGCTGACTGGCAGCCATTTTGTTCAGTTTGTTCCATAATCAGTATGTGTTATTTAGTGCCATCATTTATACATTTTTTGTTGCCAGGATAACAGGATTGTTATCAATCCACATATGATCTCAGTGCAGTTCAATTTTGGTGTGGCTGACTTCTATATTTTTAGAAATATTGGTGACACTTTTGTAATTAGAGAATGTAACAATATCCTTTCTACATGTCAGTATGTGAAGTAGAAATGTGATACATACTATGTAATTGGATACAATTGGATACAGATAATCTGTTTTAAAGTAAATGTATACTGAGAATATGGAAATATAATAATACTTAAATTAAGGTAGAAACAAATTATATACAAGTTGTACTAAAAGATTATAATTATTTCAATTTATATCATGCTACCTACCCATATTTTTCGGGAAATCCAAAAGTTTATTTTTTGCAAAATAAGCTCAAAATTATTTGTTTATGCAAATTAGCCCTCTCAAGCTAACAATGTTGTAATTTTATTCACTTCCTTCTATGTAGTGAATGATTAGCAAGAAACTAAATTAGATGTCAGTTTTGCCTGCCATTCAACCCAGTAATTTTTTTTAGCCATTTACCAGAAACATCAATTTTTTTTAAATTATTTGTTTTTATTATTTAATTTTATTTATTTGTAGTTTATTAAGTACTTTAAAACATCAAGATACTCATTCTTGAGCTACTGAGACCTTGTTAGTATCATAAATACTCCCCACTATCTGGATTCAATATTTAGATAGTGCAGTATGTAATATCTCATATTAGCCAGGGTCACACCATCAGAATACTCTCACTCTAGCAGACCAAACTTCACACATTTTTAATAGCACTAAAAATCATAAATAACAATCAATCATTTTCCCATTTTGAAACCAGTTTTAGGTTGTGTGTGGATAATTTTGTTCAATCTAAGCATATTTACATACATTGATTATCATGGGACATTGAAAACATCATTTAGTTTTGAAAATCGGATTCATAATTTTATTATGGCAATTTTATTTTTGCTATTCACTCTGCAGTGGTTACAATTCAGTTACAGTGTCAGTTGTAATGTTGTTACATTATTACATCACTGACTTTGATAGTCATACTAGCAGTTGTGGGCAAGGTGTTGTAAAGTTTAACTATGTTCAAAAAGACTGGACGTTGATCTTTCATTTTATGGTTGCATGTTCATATATTCTGGCTGAATGAATGACAGAATTACCAAGTTTTGTTGATTGTAGTATGACACAACGATTGTTTTATACATGTATGTACACTATGCGTTGGATCTACTATGTAATTTGTAGTGAGTAGACTTGTGTGTCACAGTGCAGCAATAATAATGGCTGCCTTGGGACACTGATAACAGCTGTCATATGTCCTGCATAACCTTGTTGCACCAAGAAACTCATGACTACTAGAGTTGGTACTAGTATCCAAAGTGTTTCTCATATCCAAAGGATTTTTCCGGATATTTATAGTTTGGTTTCATTAATCCTATGTTTTGGTTCATGTGGCTGATCTCTGAAAGAATCCAAACACTTAAAAGGAACAGCTAATGAGGTCACTTTGTATGAACCATAACACATTGTATTTCCCTGTATTGTGGAGTTTGGAGGTAGTATTGCAGTTATGTGCTAAAATATTACCCATAATGCAGGGATTTGCCAAGATATTACCCATAATGCAGGGATGGATGTGCCAAGATATTACCCATAATGCAGGGATGTGCCAAGATATTACCCATAATGCAGGGAGGGATGTGCCAAGATATTACCCATAATGCAGGGAGGGATGTGCCAAGATATTGCCCACAATGCAGGGATGTGCCAAGATATTGCCCACAATGCAGGGATGTGCCAAGATGTTGCCCACAATGCAGGGATGTGCCAAGATATTACCCATAGTGCAGGGATGTGCCAATATATTAACCACAATGCAGGGATGCGCCAAGATATTACCCATAGTGCAGGGATGTGCCAAGATATTAACCACAATGCAGGGATGCGCCAAGATATTACCCATAGTGCAGGGATGTGCCAAGATATTAACCACAATGCAGGGATATGCCAAGATATTACCCACAATGCAGGAATTTGCCAAGATATTACCTACAATGCAGGGATGTGCCAAAATATTACCCACAATGCAAGGATGTGCAAAGATATTACCCACAATGCAGGGGTAATTAATTTCAGTCATAACAATCTCAAGATTTCACATTATGCTTCTTCATCACTGTTGGAATAGCTGACATCTTTGTAGTATGCTACTTGTGTGATGATATTTTCATCAAAATCTGCCAATAATTAATCAATTTAATATTAGTCAGTAGTCTGTGAATTTTTAAAAAAAAAATTCATTCTATTTTCTGAATGAAAATCAAATACTGTAAAATATTTTATTTCAGCTGGGAATGGAATTTATTTTCACTGATTTTTGACAAGTTAAATGTAAAATATAGGGGAAAAGGTATATTCGCTGGATTTATTTTTCACTGAAACATTCCTTCAGCAAAAATAGCGAAAATAAAAGTAATCATATAATGGCAAATTAAGGATAGGTTTCCATAGACCACATGAAAACACATTTCATTATTAAACACCCACTATAAATATTGTCAATTTTAATACCTTAACAAGTATATTGTACCGTAAGTTCCATAGCAAACAATGGTAAAATGCTCTAAAACTGACAAAACATGATATTTTCATTCCATTTTGTACATCAATTTTTTTTCCAGCAGAGTACAGTGACCCTGTATTTTTATTTCTTTTTCCTCATCAATGTTACACGAAATGTCACATATCTAAAAGACAATGACATTATTTTGACTATTTAGTTGCATTTTACAAGGTCATGGTCATTGTTTAAAATTTTAATATTTTATGCTTTGACCTCATCAAATAAACACTGTAACAGTATGCCTAGTGCTGGGTTTTAGGTTTCAATGTCCTGATGTGCACCAGTGGAAAGTTTCATAACATATCAGTTGTCATTTTTCTGATATGTTTAATTATGAACAGCTGCATAAGGGTTTGCAAATTTATTTATAGTTGATACAAATATGACCAGTCAGGGTCGGTGTCAAGGCAATGTTAAATGTTTCTGATAAATTATTGGTTATAACTATTTCAAGGATACCATTCATGGATACAGTTGTTGCTAAGGTGTAAACTGAATGATATTGGTATAAGCATACATGAATTTGGGGGTTAGGCAAAGTGAATGATAAAGTAACAGCAATTCTTTGTCGGGTCTTGTATGCAGTGAGTGTTTCTGTGGGACTGTAGATGGGTACCATCATATTGCACACTGGAGGCAATCTTTGCAAGTTATGCTGTAGGTTGACTCAAGATTTTCTTTGACAGTTTAAGCTTGGAGGTTTTACCATGCTTATCTGTGTCACCAAATTCATATGCAAATTAGCCACTTTGCTTGGGCATTTACCTATGGGAATTTACAGATATAATATAGTGTGAGGGCACTCTTCAATTATGTGATTCCTAACTATACTAGGTTTCCAATTAGAGAAACCTGCTATGTGTGCTGGTAAGGCAAATAATAAAACTGTCATGCTGAATTGACCTAGACTGAAATGCAACATGGTCTGTATGGTTATGTTGTTATGACAACTGGTCCTGCTATATTCACTACAAGTCTCTTGGTAATTCCCTACTATATTGCAATTAAATTGGCATGCATATGTACAATGCATTTTGTCAATGAGGTGTATCTATGAAGATACAAGTGGATACCACATTCTGGTTTATCTGATGCATTGTGGGTATCTTATTTCCTCTCTTGACTTCTTATAATCAAATTAACTGTAATTGTTGAAATGTACATGTCTAAACTATCTCGTTCAACAGATTTTTTTTGAGTGTTAGAAAATGTTTGTAATTGTTCATCCTCGACTCGAATCCGGATGCTAGGACAGTCACCTTGGTAACTATCTACAATACACCAATGATTTATTTATGTACTTTTTGTGGCCATGAACCCATTTCAGACAGACCATAGGCTAATGTTTGTATTATGTCTTTAGACTTAGGTGAATATTTGTATGTTTGCACAAACTCTGTGGGGACAGTGAAACTGTGAAGGGTGTGTCAGTCAACGGTGCATAGTATTGCTTAATGGTGTAACTTGCTGAAAAGTTGCTAGCATTAAAAACATGACAAGGTTAGCTGCAATATGATGACAGGTGCTTTGAACAACCCAGTATGATGGTTGTATCGAGAGCATGCTAGACTAAATATATGTACTGTGCTGTTTCTAATTGCAGTTTATTTCCATGGACAATTCAAAACCTTTGCCATGCTTAGTTATTGTTTTCCTTTTTATTTCCTGACTACAGTTGCTGCCTGTGTACCAAAGTGGAAACATCAGTATTCTGCTCTGATTGGCTAAAACATGGATGTGTCAATATTCTGTTCTGATTGGGTAAAACATGAATATGCCAGTATTCTGCTCTGATTTGTTAAACATGGATGTTTCAATATTTTTCTCTGATTGGCTAAAACATGGATGTGTCAATATTTTTTTCTGATTGGCTAAAACATGGATGTGTCAATATTCTGCTCTAATTGGCTAAAACATGGATGTGTCAATATTCTTTTCTGATTGGCTAAAACATGGATGTGTCAATATTCTGCTCTAATTGGCTAAAACATGGATGTGTCAATATTCTGTTCTGATTGGCTAAAACATGAATATGCCAGTATTCTGCTCTGATTTGTTAAACATGGATGTGTCAATATTCTGCTCTAATTGGCTAAAACATGGATGTGTCAATATTCTTTTCTGATTGGGTAAAACATGAATATGCCAGTATTCTGCTCTGATTTGTTAAACATGGATGTTTCAATATTTTTCTCTGATTGGCTAAAACATGGATGTGTCAATATTCTTTTCTGATTGGCTAAAACATGGATGTGTCAATATTCTTCTCTGATTGGCTAAAACATGGATGTGTCAATATTTTTCTCTGATTGGCTAAAACATGGATGTGTCAATATTTTTCTCTGATTGGCTAAAACATGAATATGTCAGTATTCTGTTTTGCCATTTATTGCCATACATGACTGGAAGACCATGACTTGTATTTGCTTTTTGCCAAATAGTTCTGCAGAATTAGGATATCCTGACAGTCATATCTAATCCATGTATACATGTTTCATTAACAACCAAGGCTGATCAGATATCCCAAGCAACTTGGATGCTTAAATGAAAAAAAAAATCAAACGTTGTTCCCATTCCATGTTTGATTTGTGAGAATGTTGTAGAAAGGAGGTCACTGGCTTTCTTTCAAGGTTTGTTGGTTAAAGTAATAAACTAAGTCAGCAGTGAGAGACAGTTCCTATCAATCACAAACATTCCTAGTATTATGTACGTGTTGCATAATGCCAAGTCATTTGCCATAGAATAACATTATTGTTTCATATAATATATGATAAAATAATCTCTTCTAAAACTAAAACTTCAGAACATTTTAAAGGGATGAGTGCTTAGTCGAGCACTGTCCCTCAAAAAATGATCAAACGGACAGTTTTTGTTGAGCAACATGTATGTGCCAGTTTGAAACAATATTACATTTTTTGGGGGAAAATAAATAATTGTTGCATGCAATGAGTTACGTTCAAATCTCCACAAAAATGTGACATAATTGCATATATCTCTACAAATCTCATGTTGATTCATTCTACTTACAGGAAGAAGAAGAGGAAATCAAATTAGAAATCAATGTATTAAAAAAGGTAAACATCCATAGACTTATCTGTTGTAATTTTCAAGTTGAATGACCATAAGCTTGTTACCACAGGTCTAGTTGGTTATAGATAGCTGCTACAAAAGACACCTAATTGTACTGTTGTGTACAGTAACTTTTAACTCGCATTAAAATTCTTGTTTTTACCTGCCCTTGCAATTAGTTGTTGAGTTGCCAGAGAAAAAAACAGATTGTGACTGTCAATATTGAACAATTGATAAATGTAGACTGAAGATAATACACTAATAATATAATATAATAAACTGTATTTTTTTCACAGTACTCGCACCACAGAAATATTGCAACTTACTATGGTGCCTTCATCAAGAAAGGAATCCGTGGTCATGATGACCAGCTATGGGTAAGCTCCTAAAATATATATTTATGGTATGTTGATAGATTTGCTGGTTGTAAGGCCATTCCTGAGTGACTGCTCACAAAATGGGTTCATATGAATGTGAATAATCCCCTCCCCTCCCCTAGTATGTCTGATATTGTAATATAAAAAACAACCTGTGTCAATACTTATTCTACTTACTTGGTCTGATTTATGATATTATTTCAGCTTGTTATGGAGTACTGTGGAGCCGGATCAGTGACAGATTTGGTTAAAGCAACCAAGGGCAATGCATTAAAAGAAGAATGGATTTCCTATATATGTAGAGAAATACTTAGAGTATGTGTCATTTTGTCACCTTTCCCCCATGACCTACCTTTTTTTTGCAGTTCCAAACAATACTGTGTTACTCTAATGAACCATAGATCATGAATGAACTAGTACTTCTTAAGGATTTTAAAATTAAAGAAAGCTGCGAGGACTGATAAATTGTTTAATATGACCAGACATTTTGGACAAAGTATATTCTTTCAATGATAGATACAAATAGTGAGAGGTTATAGAAAAATAAAACACATGTTATGACTGGAATAATAGAATATTACAAACACGTTGCAGTACTACAAAAAATAAACTTATAGAATCAACTGTACTCCTTGACGATACTTGCGAGTGTTACTGTTAATTTTCATGTCACTGTCTTCACTTTCTCTAGGGTCTCAGTCATTTACATGCTCACCACGTTATACACAGAGATATAAAGGGCCAGAATGTTTTACTCACAGAAAACGCTGAAGTCAAATTGGGTAAGAAATATTTATTATTGTTAGGATTATTCATGATTTTTTTAATAACTTCATGAAATATTTTCTAATACCTATTCTATGTTTCCAGTTGACTTTGGTGTTAGTGCCCAGTTAGATAAAACAATTGGAAGAAGAAATACATTTATTGGTACACCATATTGGATGGCGCCAGAGGTCATAGCTTGTGATGAAGATCCAGCGGCTACGTACGACTACCGAAGTGATATATGGTCACTAGGTATATCAGCATTAGAAATGGCGGAAGGAGCACCACGTAAGTATGACTCCCCCCTCTAACATTGTTGATGTCAATTAGTATATATGTATTTTGATTAAATATCATGGTAACTTGTTTTTTGCAGCGCTGTGTGATATGCACCCGATGAGGGCGCTGTTTCTCATTCCAAGGAATCCGCCTCCAAGGCTGAGGTCAAGGAAATGGTAAGTTACGAAATCTTAGGAAGTTTTGATCGTTAACATGAAGCTGTTTCAAACTCTATAGTGATCAAAATTAATGAATTTTTAATTGTCTTGATTTGTTTTAACAGGTCAAAAAAGTTTCACAATTTTGGAGACCAGTGTCTTGTAAAGGACTATACTAAGAGGCCAAACACAGACCTACTATTAAAACATCCATTTATACGTGATCAGCCAACAGAAAGACAAGTTCGAATACAGTTAAAAGATCACATAGACAGGACGAAAAGGAAGCGAGGTATGTACGCTTTACATAGTGTTGATATGATGTGAGGTTTTTCACATGACAGTAAAGCTGAGTTTCGGCTAACTAGTTGCTTAGCTACCAACATGTATGTAATTGACATTGACATATTTCCGGTCATTATGATTATGCAGTATTAGAATGATATTTTATTTAATAATACCATGTTTAGTGATTTTGTGTTGTAGGCATCTAGGTTACCTGCAGTTTACAAAATGTTCATAAGATATAAAATATGCAGTTTTCATTTACACGTGAAATGAAACAAGATTTTTGTATCCAAACATAGAGCTTTTTTCAGTTTTCAGTTTGTGTGTCAGTTTTAAAATTCACTATTGACATATTTTTTAGCTCCGCTGTCGACTTTGTCGAGCGGAGCTTATCATATGAGTGATTGTCCGTCGTCGTCGTCGTCCGTGTCAATGTTTTACTTTTTTGACTTCTTCTTGAAAACTACAAGCCTGAATGCTTTGATACTTGGTGTATATGTACCTTGGGTAGACCTCTCTTAGGTTTGTTCATTTCATGTTGATATCTTCAATTCTCTAATTTTGGTGAATATTTTTGTCATTTTTGGTAAAAAGTGATATTTTCGACTTCTTGTTAAAAACCGCAAGTGCAATTGCTTTGATATTACATATATAGATACAACATGTGGACCTCTCTCAGATTTGTTCATTTTGTAATGATATCTTTAATTCTCTAATTTTGGTGAATATTTTTATCATTTTTGGTAAAAAGTGATATTTTCAACTTCTTGTTAAAAACCGCAAGTCCAACTGCTTTGATACTACATATATAGTACTACATGTGAACCTTTCTCAGATTTGTTCATTTAGTGATGATATCTTCGATTCTATAATTTTGGTAAATATTTTTGTCATTTTTGGTAAAAAGTGATATTTTCGACTTCTTGTTAAAAACCACAAGTCTGATTGCTTTGATATTACATATATAGGTACTACATGTGGACCTCTCTCAGATTTGTTCATTTTGTGATGATGTCTTCAATTCTATAATTTT